CATAGTCCAACTGATGAGAGCAGAGCCCTTGTAGCCTGCTCACCTCTCATTGGGCCCCCACCTCCCGTCACTCTTGCATTGAGGATTAAGTTTCCAACACGTACTTTTTGGGGGGGTACATTTAAACCATAGTGATCTGTTATTGTGATTTTTTACAACATTGAGTCAGAAAGGCTATATAAGGTCCTCACACCTGGTCCATTGTCTACTAACTCTTCAGTTTAATCTTCATTCCTCAGATTTTTACTGAGCACCTACTGTACCAGATACAGGGAGATGGCAGATGGGCTGTGTTCACCTAATAGCTGCATACTTCAAGGCCAGTTGTGATAAGTGCCCTGTTCTTCAACTGTAAACTTTGCCTTTCATTCCCTAACAGGGAGGTACACCCTATGTAGGTACACCCTGTATTTCTGAACCCTATCCATGTGTGCTTAGAGGGCAGGAACTCCAGTACTTTTGGCAAGATGGAAGCAATGCCTGTGAAGTGGCGCCAACATGGATTTAAAGAAGTAGTCAATTCTGTTATATTTTTTCCCCTATTATTATAATTGCAGAAGAAGAAATAGTTGTAACTAGTCAGTTCAGATTTATAGAAGTATACAATCAAAAATGATTATGATATTAGCAAAATCATTTTGGAACGGAAACAATGAGGGGCATATTTAACCCTATGCATTCTCAACTTGACTTGAGAGTTTGGTTTACTACTATCTCTACCTTAGGTTAAGACACAGTCTCTTAAAACCTACATTTATTTATTTATGAAACACATAAGTAACAGAATATATAGTTAGGCACCTTGTAAACTATAAAACAACTATCATCATGCAACTGGAGATTCAATGTAGTATATATAATCTGTTTATTTTATACCCTTAATAATGCTTACTATTTTCTTTATATATTTTTTGAGTCAGAGTCTCACTCTTGTTGCCCAGGCTTGAGTGCAGTGGCATGCTCACGGCCACTGCAGGCTCAATCTGCTGAGCTAAGGCAATCTTTCTGCTTCCGCCTTCCAAGTAACTGGAACTATAGGCATGCACCAGCACAACTGGCTAACTTTTTGATTTGTTGTAAAGGTCTCACCAAGTTGTCCAGGCTGGTCTTGAACCCCTGAGCTCAGGCAATCCTCTTGTCTTGGTCTCCCAAAGTGCTGGGATTACAGGTGTGAGCCACCATGCCCAGCTATTTTCTTTATATTCTTGAGGGTTTTTTTTTTTTAAAGAGACTGTGTCTTGCTATGTTGGGCTTGAACTCCTTGGCTCACGCAGTCTCAGCCTCCCGAGTAATGAGACTATGGGTGCATACCACTATACCCAGCTTGTTTTATTTAAAACAATTTTTTTGTAAATTTACTTTTGATAAGTTCAACTTAAGAAAAAAAAATATGAACAGTAAAGGATCTCCTGTCATCTCTGTTCTCTATCCATTCAGCTCCCTCTTTTTCCTTACAAGTAAACCACCTTTTAAGTTTCTTGTATAGTCTTCCTGCATTTTTTTATCCCCTCCTTTTTCCTCCTGAAAGATACCATACACACACCATTCTTTCTCTTTTTGTTGCTTGACAATATATCCTTATTTTTGTGAAAATAAGAACCATCTAAAATTTTGTGTGCTCATGATTACTTGATAACATAAAGACTTTTAAACCTCCGTCAGCTGACATAATTACTTTTCAGTGAGCATATCTTTGGCGCAGAGACTTACTTATGCTTATTTTTGTGATTTTTAAAATGTTTTCTGCCTAGCTCTAAAAAGGAAAACCGGACACTATCTTCTGACATTTCAGAGTTAATAAAGTAGCTCATGTTTCAGCCTTTGTGTACAGAATATATATGTTTTCTTAGCACATTCAACCCACTGTGTTCTCAGCTCATGTACCTTCAGTGACTATTTCTTTCACAGCTTCCTTTTATTAGGAACATTAAGTTGCTGCCCATTAAATTCTGCACAACTGCCTGTTTGTTATTTGTGGTCAGTATTTTATTTTTTTATTTTTTTTTGCTGAGTTGGAGTCTCACTCTGTCGCCTAGACTGGAGTGCGGTGGCCGCTCCCGGCCACCGCAGCCTCGACCTGCTGGGCTCTGGCGATCCTTCTGCCTCAGCCTTCCAAGTAGCCAGAATTACAGGCATGCGTTACCATGCCCGGCTGATTTTTTGATTTATTGTAGAGATGAGGTCTTACTGCCCAGGCGGGTCTCAAACCTGCGGGCTCAGGCAGTCCACTCACCTCAGCCTCCCAAAGGCGTGGGACTACAGGCTGAGCCACCGAGTCTGGCTTGTGGTCAGTATTTTAATCTTCCTTGCCTATAATGCTGCAGAACTTCCCCACCTTACCCCCTGCCCCCAGAAAAATAAAAAAAAATTCAACTCAAACTATATTACTTAGCAAACCATCTTCATAGAATGGAATTTAGGAAAATTTTTGTTTTAATAAACAGTAAATTTTGAAAGATTTAATAACTCAACGAAAATGTAGTTAAAAAATAAAAATACAATAATGGAAGGACAGTAGAAGCAGGACTCAGTTTATCCTCTGACAATGTCAGCTGTTTTCTCTGTTGCCAGGAATGAGTCAAGTTCTGCATTTTTCTGCATATAATTGTTCAGGACATATGGCTCAGAATACATGAATCAGTATAGTAACTACAGTGGCGACCTTCTTGGGTTCTGTTTGTTATTTGTTAAATTGTGAGACACCATTTATAAAATTACTTCCCCCAAAGTTATTTCTCACTGACACCATATATAACATTACTTCTCCTCTTCTGAAGTCTGAATTGCAGTCTGCTTTGTAGAATTTCTTCTTGAAAGCACTTATTTAAGATTATAGATTGTGGCCAGGCTCAGTGGCTCAGCCTGTAATCCCAGCACTTTGAGAGGCCTAGGCAAGTGATTGCCTGAGCCTGCAGGTCCGAGACCAGCCTGGGCAACTTGACGAGAGTTCGTCTCTACAATAAATAAAAAATTAACTGGGAATGGTAGCGTGTGCCTGTAGTTACAGCTACTTGGAGGGCTGAGGCGAAAGGATTGCTGGAGCCTAGCAGGTCGACGCTGGAGTGACCATGAGTGTGCCACTGCACTCCAGCCTGGGCGACAGAGTGAGACTCCCAACTCAAAAAAAAAAAAGATTATAGATTGTTATTTGTTCACAGACTTTCCAAATGTACTGGATGTTACTTTAAATAGACTTTTTGGGGCGGGGGGATGAAAGCAAATTTTGTGAAAATTAGTATTGCAGAATGATTTTGTATTTCTTTACCATTCATTCATTAACAGATGTTTGTTGAGGCCTGTTATTTGCTAAATGTTGAGGAAATACTGGTAAACTAGACAGAAGAGCCCCATTATGCCTCCTTGCTTTTCCCCGAGTTCACATTTTGGTTTCCTGTGCTGCATTACAGAAGATAAGCCTGGCATCTGTAGTGGGAGGCCTTGGCTTTAGGTTCTGAGTTGGCCATTATTTATTGTGAGGCCTCTGGAACTTAAAACTCGGAGCCAAGCCGGGCTCGGTGGCTCAGCCTGTAATCCCGCGCCTTTGGGAGGCTGAGGTGAGTGGATTGCCTGAGCCCGTGGGTTCGAGACCCGCCTGGGCAGCGAGACCTCATCTCTACAATAAATCAAAAAATCAGCTGGGCGTGGTAGCGCACGCCTGTAATTCTGGCTACTCGGAAGGCTGAGGCGGAAGGATCGCTGGAGCCCAGCAGGTCAAGGCTGCGGTGGCCGGGAGCGGCCACTGCACTCCAGTCTGGGCGACAGAGTGAGACTCCAACTCAAAAAAAAAAAAACCAAAAAAAAACTCGGGGCCAGTTCTACAAATCTACATATGGAGGGATCTTGTAGGGTTGTTAGAATTAATTAATGGGAACATTGTCTCTGCAGTGGTCTTTGTACTGGTTACACTTTTTAATTCCTTGCATTTTCTAGTTACATTCTCCTCAGGTGGCCTTGGGAAAAAATTAAGTCTGGAGTTTTGACATCATAGAGATGATGATTATGCCTCTACCCTCTTTTACCTTTTTTTTTTTTCAGAGTGCTCTCAGCTGCATTGTCTCATTTGATTACTAGGTTGGGGAGATAGTTTTACATTGTGGTGAGGTAACTTCATGTTGAAATTCTACAATAATATGAGGCTAAACTGTTGATTTTTGGCCCTGTATTGACCCTTGGACTGAAGAGTCTTATTTTCAGCAGCAAGAAGACAGTTTAATGAGAGGCAGTTAAGAGAGTGCAGTCTCCAAACCATAGTTTTTTGGGTTTTTTTTTTTTTTTGAGTTAGGCTTTTACTCTGTTGCCCAGGCTGGAGTAATGGCATGATCATAGCTCACCACAGCCTTGACTACCTGGGTTTAGGCGATCCTTCCGCTTCGTCCTCTGGAGTGGCTTGGACTACATTCGTGTGCCACCACGCCTAGCTAATTTTTTTATTTTTGGTAGAGACGAGGTCTTGCTGTGTAGCTCAGGCTGGTCTCAAACTTCTGGACTCAAGCAATCATCCCACCTTGGCCTCCCAAAGTGCTGGGATTACAGATGTGAGCCACTGTGCCTGGCCCATAATCTTAATTTCAAATTCTTGCTTCTCCACTTATTGCCTATTCACCCTTAAGCAAATGACTGGACTATCTCTACTAATACACTGTGGGATTGATTAATGCTATAGTTAAAAGAAAAACAACACCAATGATGTGATTGTATACAAACACTTAATAAAATATGGAAGATAGAGACTGAAAAGCTGTTAAACCATCATCATAAAGGAGAGAGGAAACAAGAGGAGGACCCACCTAGATAGTCAGTTCTTGAAATTCCTGATTAAAAGGAGCATAAGCGTGGGAGGCAAGGCTGGGACACATTGCTGTGATCTATTTTTACTTTTTGCTTTCTTTTCTAATTGGAGCTGTTCTGAGACATTATGATGATGAGAGGGAATGTGTAATGTAGTTAAGAACTGGGACCCTGGAGCCAGGCAGCTTGAGGTCAGACACCAACAACTCCACTATTTGCTGCTTAACTGCGTTGTGCCTTTTCTGCAGAAAAAATAATGTTACTACACATAAAAATGAGTTTTAAATCAGTATTTGGCACATAGTAGTCAGTGATACTTTTAGCTCTGATTTTTCTTAAAGGGGTCTTTTGAGCAATTTCTTCTGCAAGAGAATATCCAGAGACACAGGAATAGAAATGATCCGATCAGAGTAATTAAAGGCTTTTACTGAGCTCTAAGGTCCCAAACAGGGCACATTCAGTTAGCCTGAAGCTGTGAAGAACCTTCAACATAAGGTGAGTGTTTCTTTTTTAGGGAAAGTGGAGAACAAAATCGCTAGGCTACTATGTTTGTGTCCTTTTTATTTGGTGGAGAGCTCCAGATGTTGGGTTCCCACTTGCCAGGAGATATTAGGGATTCCCCTTTCATTGTCTGGTGCTGCACCCCTTCCAGGATTGCAGATTTCTGAGAGTTTTTAATAAGCTCTGGCCAGGACTTCCATGTCTCTTTTACTCAAGGTGCCAGCCAGGGTGTACGCTGACTGACCTGTACGACTCCTTGCCCTTTGCCTGGGTTTAGTCACCTGTGTGGCATCCCCAAGTCTGTTTAAAATCTTATTACTTTTTCCAGCGAAGGCTCCACCTCCTATTTTATTGAGTGTGGCCTGATGATTTATTTGGGATGCAAGCTTCATGGAGCCCTGCATCCCAGAGAAGTTAGGATGTCCCTTGTAGCAGATACCCTATTTGAAGAACAGAGTCTCAATTGAGTCTGCACTAGGTATGAAACACCCTTCCAGGGCTCATTTACAAAAATAAGTTAGAAATGTATTGTCCCTGTTTTTTACATTCCCACAGACTCAATGATGGAGCAAGCACATACACAAATAACTTGCTCCTGTTTGAAAATGTCTGCAAAAGAGGTGAGATGAAGTATCTTGGCACAAAGGAGGCCAATTGCCAGGCTCTGAAGCCTTCACAGAGCAGGAAATATTTGAGTTGGGTAGCTGATGAGTAGGGGCTGAAAGGTTTAGAAGAGGGAGAATAGTTCAATTAGGTCATTAAAACTCATGTAACACCTGCTGGGTGCTAGGCTCTAAGTGTAAAATCAGAGAAAAGTTGACTGCACACATTCTGATATCTCTTCTGTGCAGCTCCTTTTTAAAGTTCAGCAGATGTTCACTCACCAGGTGATGCTGCCTTCCCCAAGCCACCTGGCAGATACCTGTTTAACTTTAAAAGCATCTCTTCTGTGAAGCTTTCCTGACAGCCCTCTGTGAATTTCCCAGGGCTGCTATAACAAAGTACTACAAACTGGGTGGCTTAAACAACAGAAATGTATTGCTTATAGTCCCAGAGACCAGAAGTCTGAAGTCAGGGTGTGGGCAGAGCTGATTCTCAGAGCTGAGAATCTGTTCGGCCTCTCTGTGGCTCCTGGTGATATATGGCAATCCTCGGTGTTCCGTGGCTTCTAGAAGCAGCATCCTTGGCCTCTGCCTTCATCTTCCCACAGCATTCTTCCTGTGTGTCTGTGTGCAGATTTCCCCTTTTTAAGAGGACACAGTCGTGCTGGATGAGAGTGTATCCTGCTCTGGTACGACTCCTTCTTAATTCATTACATCTGCAGAGACCCTGCTTCCAAATGAGGTCACATTCTGAGGTCCTGGTAGTTACAAGTTCAGCGTATTAATTTTGAGGAGTCACAGTTTAATCTCTAACAGCCTCTGTCTGCTCTTTCTGCCTCCCACCATTGGACACTTTACCCCTGCTGCTGTACTTTAAGTAGATTTCTGTCTTAGCACCAAGAGTATTTTGTCTTTCAACTCCTACTCATTTGTATCTTTTTATCTCCAGTGCCTTGCACATAGTATGGAGACTGTTTCCAGTGGAAGTATACTAAGCGTTAGGAGTTATAGAAAAAGAGTAAGTTATTGCACAAGTCTCTTCTTGTTCTTCTGTTGACAATTCTATAGGCTCTCTTGAGTTAGGTTTCAGGTGACCAAGGACACAAGCAGTGAATACCTCTTTTTTTTTTTTTTTTTTGAGTTGGAGTCTCACTCTGTCACCCAGACTGGAATGCAGTGGCCGCTCCCGGCCCCCGCAGCCTCGACCTCCTGGGCTCCGGCAATCCTTCCGCCTCAGCCTTCCAAGTAACTGGAACTACAGGTGTGCGCTAACACGCCCGGCTAATTTTTTTGATTTATTGTAGAGATGAGGTCTCACCAAGTTGCCCAGGTGAATCTCGAACCCGCAGGCTCAGGCAATCCATTGACCTCAGCCTCCCAAGGCGTGGGATTATAGGCTGAGCCACCGAGCCCAGCTGAATACCTCTTTTATTATTGTGATACCTCCTGACTTTTTCCCTATGGAGTAATAATTCATTATTGCCTAATGGTCATTATACTTACTTAGTTTTTTCTTTTTTTTTGAGTCCAGCTATCCTTCCACCTCATCCTTCCAAGTAGCTGGAACTGTAGGCACAAACCACCATGCCCAACTAATTTTTTTGATTTTGATTTATTGTAGAAACTAGGTCTTTCCAGGTTGTTCAGGTTGGTCTCAAACTCCTGGGCTGAGACAGTCCTCTCGCCTCAGCCTCCCAGAGTGTTGGGATTACAGGCGTGAGCCACTGCGCCTGACTCATTGTACTTGCTGAGAAATGTTTTAAGAACTTTAGAAACTTTGACAAGACCTTTTAGGACTTGTAGCAGACATTTTACACAGAGGATTTCTTTAATGGCCCCCTTCTTTCTTTCAACTTTGAGTTTGAGTTAAGGATTTACAGTAAGTCATGTGAACACCTGGAATGGTTACCAATGAGCAAAGATGTCTGTGCCAGAAAGGAGATGCCAAGACATCATTAAATGGGTCCAAAAATTTATCTGGTTTCCGATCTGATACATTAATGAGGATGGATCACCCTGGGTCTGGAAAAACTTTACTAAGAATATTCCAGAACACTTTGTTATTTCCAGGTCAATAAATAACATACTAGGCAGAGGGTGTCTTCTGGAACCTTAGAAAAGGAATGTTAATCTTAAGGTTGCCTGTGATCCTAATAACAGTAGTATCAGTCTGAAAAAACATGCTTATGTTTATCTGAAGGCAGGCAGAGACCAGCTTATGTAAGGTCTGGAGATGCTTTGTTCTAAGAATAAGGAGAATCATGGAGCATGGCAGACACACACAACATAGGCAGCGTGATGTAACGAATCCTGCTTTTTCCTTCATCCATGTTGAACAATCAGTTCATGGCCAGTCTTGTTTCTTTTAGGTAGCCTTCACTCCCCTTCCCTTCATATAAGCTTAAGGCAACTTTCAGATGCCGTTTTATAAGAAATATTTCTGTATATATCTAATATAATGTCACATCTAAAAAATTAGACAGTAATTTAATGCCATCGAGCTCAAATTAGTATTCCAATTTCTAGTTGTCTCAGATGTCATTTTTAGATTTTTATTTCACAATTTGTTTCACTGGGGATCTAAGTGAGGCCAACATATTAGTTTTCAGGTTTTAAGCAGAGTGAGTGAGTGACATGATCTGACTTATATTTTAAAACTCTTTCAGGGCTGGATGCGGTGGCTCATGCCTGTAATCCCAGCACTTAGGGATGTGGAGGCAAGAGGATTGCCTGAGCCCAGGGGTTCAAGAGCAGTCTGGGCAACTTGGCGAGATCTTGTCTCAACAATAAATTAAAAAATTGACTGGGTGTGGTGGCCCGTGGTTTCAGCTACTTGGAAGGCTGAGGCGGAAGGATTGCCTGAACCCAGGAGCTTGATGTGGTGGTGGCCGTGAGTGTGCCACTGCACTCTAGCCTGGTAGATGGAGTGAGACTCCAACTCAAAAACAAACTAAAAAACCCCAAAACTCTATTGAGTTTTGGAGAATGGATTGCTGTGGGGGTTGTTGGGAGACTAGAAGTAGAGAAATCGATTAGGAGGCTATTGTTTGTCCAGGATGTGAGCAATAATAACCTGGACTTGAGTGACATATGTGGGGGTGGGAAAATGCAGAAGAATGAGATGTCACAAGGGCAGGCCACGCTAGTTTATTATGGTTCATCTAGATTTTTGGTTTTTGTTGTGTGTGTGTTTATTTGAAAATATTATTCCCAAAGATTTCATTAATATAGCTATCAATATATTGCTGATGGTGAAAATTTATTACACATGTAAAATTATAGCAGCATTATAGAATATTGAGATAAACATTATTCCATACCTTACTGAAGTTATTCAACTTTAATCCAACTTGTTTGTCATATCATCTTGTCAGTGTATAATTATACTATGAATTATATAATAGAACAAGAAATATAGTTTTCACTTAAAATTATTTTATTTTATTTTATTTTTGAGTTGGAGTCTTACTCCGTCACCCAGACTGGAGTGCAGTGGCCACTCTCAGCCACTGCAGTCTCGACCTGCTGGGCTCTGGCTATCCTTCCGCCTCACCGTTCCAAGTAGCTGGAACTACAGGCACATACTACCACACCTAGCTAATTTTTTGATTTATTGTAGAGGTGAGGTCTCGCTAAGTTGGCCAGGCGGGTCTCGAACCCACGGGCTCAGGGAATCCACTCACCTCAGCCTCCCAAAGTGGGGCATTACAGGCTGAGCCACTGAGCCCGGCTAAAATTATTTTATTTTAAGTTATTATAAATTTATTTTGAGATATTCTTTTTTTTTTTGGAGTTGAAGTGTCACTCCGTCACCCAGACTGGAGTGCAGTGGCCACTCTCAGCCACTGCAGTCTCGACCTGCTGGGCTCCGGCGATCCTTCCGCCTCAGCGTTCCAAGTAGCTGGAACTACAGGCACATACTACCACGCCCGACTAGTTTTTGATTTATTGTAGAGATGAGGTCTCGCCAAGTTGCCCAGGCGGCTCTCGAACTCACGGGCTTAGGCAATCCACTCACCTCAGATTCCCAAAGCGTGGGATTACAGGCTGAGCCACCGAGCCCGGCTATTTTGAGATATTCTAAATGATGTTACTAGAATTTTTTCTTTGCATCTTTGTTTTTTCTTTTCTTTTTAAAATTTTGAATCAAGTAATAACTTTGTAGGTATCTTCTTAGAAAAGTTTGCCATCTTACACACTTAAAAACTAAGTACTGCTGGGCACAATGGCTCAAGCGTGTAATCCCAGCACTTTGGAAAGCCAAGGTGAGAGGATTACCTGAGCTCTCAGGGGTTAGCGACCAGTCTGGGCAACTTGGTGAGACCTCGTTTCTACAATAAATTAAAAAATTAGCCTGGCATGCAGCGCATACCTATAGTCCCAGCTACTTGG